AATTTAAAAAGGGGAGGGATAGTCACAAAACATAATGCACGGTATCCTTGGATTTTTGAAAAAAAATACAAATGCTCATGCAGAGTAAGTAATCGGGTAGGATTTTCACTAGGGCCAACAGTTGCTGTTCCTAAATTAGCAGTTTATGTTTGCTGTGTTCTTTGTTTAATGTTTGCACACTCCTTAACACCCGCTCCCCCAGTACTGGGGGGAAACGCGAGGCCTCACACGTTATTGCATGGGCTCTGCTACGAGCTACACCCAGCCCACACATCGTGCTGTAAAAATACCAAAATTAGTAAAGAAACTTTATTTTTTTAAATATCAGCTGCCCCTTTTTGTCCAGGCCCCAGGGCAGAGCCTAGATTTCGTGTTTTGTTGTTTTGTTTTTTTAATGAGCCATGCTGACCTGGAACTCACAGTTCTCTTTCTTTAGCCTTTTGAGTAGCTTTTCCCCCATGCCCAGCTTAAGATTCAGTATGTATTAAATGCTGAATATGTCTGCATTGAATGATCACAGTGTAAAGAAGAACTTGGTGAGCGGCACCCAGAAGGCATAAAGTGCTTTCACAGAAAGGATTGCGCATGGAGGCCATCAGGAAGGGCTTCTATTGATAGTTGAGTGGGCCTTGAAGGTCTGATCCCTTGTTTGTTTGTTTGTTTGTTTGTTTTTTAAGAGAAGAGAATAAGATATCCCACATCATGATAATTATTATCACTTTTGAACAAGCTTTGGATTGAGAGTCTCGCTATATATCCCAGGCTTGCTTTGAACTCTTCCTGCCTCAGCCTCCTGAATGCTGGGATTATAGCCATATACTGCCATGCCCGGCTTTGAACAAGCCTTTTAGAAGATGAAATTTCTTTTGTTAGAATTCTTGGTATTATCTCTAGAATACATGTGTTATCCAGCAAATATGTTTTCCATATTGTCTTTTGCTTGCTTGCTTTTCCTTCCACCCTTCCCCTTCCTTTTCCCTCCCTCCTACCCTCCCTTCCTACCTTCCTTCCTTGCTTCCTCCCTTCGCTAATTTTGTCATGCCGGGGATTTAGCCTAGGGCCTTATGTGTTCTAGGCAAGTGTGCTAGTACTCACCTGTATCCCTAGCCTTGAAATGGCTGCAAAAACCTATTTTATGACTAGCATAAACCAGTTAGAATTAAAACTTTTCTGAATCGAAAATGTACACACAAGTAGTAGAAAATTAATTGCATTAGTCATTTCTGGTTTTAGGGGGAAATAGTAGCTTTTGAAAATTTTAATTGATCTTGTGTGACATCATTTTAGAATACCTTTAAGATACTTGCTTCAAATTAAATTATTAAATATAATTGGAATTTGCTTTGTAAAGTTTTATATTTTGAGGCATGCCATAATTCAGAACTGTCCATTATATTGGAAATATTAAAAATTTATTTCTGAAAAGTCAAATTTATGGGCTGTCTGGGAATTCCACTTTGACTTACATTAGTTCTGTGATCTATTTAATTACTTCAAATCAATCTACTGAAAGACTATCGGAAAATATTTGTTTAATATACTGTCATGCAACATTTTTTAAAATTAAGATTTAAAAAAGAAATACCCCTGCCTTGCAAGTGTAAGGTCCTGAGTTCAAGCCCTAGTACCAAAAAAAAAAAAGGTAAGCTATAGGATTAAAGGTATTTTTGTGGACCTAGTTATGAAATGATTCTGGAAAGTTTTGGATCTTTTCTCCATAGAAACTTTATTGTTACAGAAAGTTTTATTTTTAAAGCTCTTCTTTTTACTCACTTAAAATTATTCTAAAAAGTTGTTTTGGAATAGTTGCTTATTCTAATTTAAATCTGAAATAGCTGTGAATACCATCTTTGAATTTTCATGCCTATTATACATTTGATTTCATGTGTAGTGAACTTAGTTGTAGTATTCCCAAACCCATTGGGTACAGTTTCTGTGGTTACCAGCCCCTTTGTAGAGTGACAAAGGTTGGAATCCTGATTCTCATGAGTCAAATTTTGGCCTTTGACTCTATCCCCTTTTCACACCCCTTGCCAAGCTTGGGCTGTTGCTATGCTTGAAGGCTTGTCAGCAAGCAGGTTCCTATGGTAACAGGAATAGAAAATTGAAAAAAGAATGGGAGTGCAAAGGCTTGGTTAATTTGAATTTGAATAAAGAATCTAAGGTTCCATGTGGTGCACCTTTGTTGTAGAAACTAGAAATTTAATTTTAGAAAGTTACTTACCAGTTTGTAAACTTTCCATACCCTTGTCTTGCTTGAATAGACAAAATTACTACTGCTTAGGAAAATAATAAGAATCTTTAAAAATTCAGTCACCTAAAGTTTCTTCTTTCTACTGCATAGAGCTTTAGTAATATTCCTGTTGTTATATATTTGTTTTCAACTTTTAAATATTCAGGCTACGTTATTTTGATTTTGCTGAGGTTTAAAATTGTTAAGGTTAAAATTAAGGCAGTTTGCTTATTTTAAAAGTGTAAATACTTTGTTTTGTGTAGTAGCTTATTGAGGTGTAATGTGTACAGTAAACACTCATTTAAAGTGCTTACTTCCCAGTGTTTTCACAGACCCTGTGACACCATCACCAGAGAGAAAGCAGAGGACATTTCCATACCCTAAAGCCTCCATGTGTCCCTTTGCAGTCCATTTCTTCTTTAGTTCCTGCCCCATTGCAACCACCGATCTGCTTTCTATTTTTCATTAGCTTTCATTTTCTAGAGTTTTATATAGAAGGAATCATACAGTATCTACTTTTTGTGTGTCTAGTTTCTTTAACCAAGCTTTTTTTTTAACCCAGCATTGTGATTTTGTAATATTTCTGCCCCTCTTTTGGATTTTCAGAAGCATCATTCTACTGACTTTCTTGTTTAACAGATGAAATTGGGGAATTTAGCAGTGTTCCTCATGCCAACCAAATAGGCCTGTTACATGTCTATTAATTCACTTTTAATTTCATTTGTTTGTTTATTAATTGTATTCTGTATGTTAATTATGCCTTTTTACTTAAGTGTTAAGACCATTTTCCAGAAGAGGAAAGTAAAGGTTCGAACAATTTATTTATTTATTCATACTTTTTTTTTTTGGTACCAGGGATCAAACTCAGGACCTTGCACTTGTGAGGCAGTCGTGGTGCCACTGAGCTAAATCCCTGGCTCAGCAGAACAAATTATTAAAGTGTAAGAAGGTTTAACTGAGTCCTGGGTCCACTACTAGCTGTGTCATGTTAGACAAGTTACTACTTAGCTTTCTGTGCCCTATTATCTTCACATGTATTATAAAATCAGATTTATTAAAATCGTACTTAGCTTGTGGGGATTGAAATGAGAAAATACCTTGAAGGCACTTTAAACAGTGACTGTCCAGAAGTATCAGAAATTGTTAGCTGAGATAGATTCCAGCAGAGTACTTAGAGCTAGTAAGCTGTAGAAACATAAACTTGTAGCTTTTGGTTTGGAAGAAGCAGCTCAAAGTAGTCATTCACATTGTTTATAATTTATGATGGGGCTCACAGATGAAGGTCTGGTTACTATTTTAACATGAGGATGGCTGTTTGATAGTCACAAATAGTGTATTATATTATCAGGTATTTTACAATTGACTTATCTGACATCACTTTCTTCAACTTGCTCTTGATTTTTGAAAGCATTGTGTATTGGAGGCCTTTGGAAAATATTACACTCAGTGTAGAAATAAATTTTCTACTCAAAAGAAAGGTGTGGTAAGAATATCTGTAACCAATTCAGAATTTGTGATGACTCAAACTGTTATATAAACAAGTGGGGGGGTCAAAGTAATAAAAAACCCAGTATACTTCTTGGGCGGTTTGACCTCCTTATGGTTATAGTGGTTATTGTAGTATGGTTTTGTTTTGGGGGCTACTGTTTTCTCTTTGTTCCCTTAATACCAAGTTATTGTTTACAGCCTGTGATTTCATTTTCAGTTTAAAGAACTGCTTAAAGGGTTTTTTAAAGTGTAAAAAAAGTAATTTTTTAAACAGATGACTATTCCTCAACTTCAACCCTTCAAATAACTACTGTTACTACTGATCTTCTTCCTTTCCTTTTCTCCTTTTACTGCTTATTTGCTTTCTGCTTGGTACATGTTAATTGAAGAAAATATGAAAGTTGAAATATATAAAAGAAAAATATATATTGTGTGGGTTTTTTAAAACACCCCTATATAAAATGAATGTTGTTGTCCTCAGCCCTGCTTCCTTATTAAAATCACCTGTTGTGTTTCAGATATTCATATAGATTCTAGAATATACTTTGGACATAACTAGATTGGAATCTTCAGGGGTAAACTGAGGGTTTTATTTATTTGTTTGTTTGTTTTTTGAGACAGGGTCTCACTATGTAGTTGAGACTGACCTGGCACTCACTATGTAGCCCAGGCTGGTCTTGAACTCACAGAGATCCTCCTGCCTCAGCCTCCACAGGTGCGGGCCACCATGCCCAGCTAAGAGGGTTTTATTTTTATAAAACAAACAAAAACTTCTGCATTAGCCTCTGTCATTGTGACAGAATCCCTGAGAATAACAACTTCAAAGAGCAAAGATTTACTTTGGCTCATGATTTGAGGAGTTTTAGTCTGTGGTCAGCTGGCTGTAATATTTTTAGGCTTGTGGCAAGGCAGAAACATGACGGAAGGGTATAGCAGAGGAAAGCTGTTCACTTCATGGCAGCCAGGAGGCAGAGAGAAGAACATGCATTTGTAGACTTGTTCCTTTTGCTTTTATTCGATCTCTTGCTCAGTATGCTGTCCCACATGCTGGTCTTCTCTGGACACACCTTCACAGAGGCACATAGAATTGTGTTGACTAATTACCTAGCTGTTTCTAAATCTAGTTAAGTGACAGTCAAGAGTAACTATCACATTCTTCTTTAGAAATTTTTAATGCCCATTAGAGGTTTTTTAAGATGGAAAAATGTAAGTTGAAGTATTACACAAGCTTTAATTTATATTCATCTTTTTATCTAATTATTCAATTTTATTTCTCTAGCCCTTCCACCCTATGGTGAATCTGGATTGTTCTCGAGATTTCCGGCCATTTCTTTGTGCACTCTATGCTCCTATTTGTATGGAATATGGACGTGTCACACTTCCTTGTCGTAGGCTGTGTCAGCGGGCCTATAGTGAGTGTTCAAAGCTGATGGAAATGTTTGGTGTTCCTTGGCCTGAAGATATGGAATGCAGTAGGTATGGTAATCGTACATTTTCATGGGTCATTTCTAATGCTACAGTATGTTTGAAAACACTTGCATTTTCATCTATTTTTAAATATATATTTTTTCAAAAATAAACTTTTTAAAGATTTATATAATTAAGACATTCAATTAATTTTTCTCTCTTTAAAACATATTTTCTGATTATAAAAGTAATGTCACTCATGGAAAATTAGCAAATATAGAGAAGAAAATATTCCTTGCCATATCATTGTGGTGGCTTAAATACCTTTGATTTAGATACGTTACTGACCAAGGCAGTCTGTCAGTGTTTTTTGTGTCATGTATAAATGCACCCAATCCAGCAACTATCAGACACTTTTCACATCACATCTGACATTTAGACTAAGCATTTCTTAAGGTTTGAGGATTTACTAGACATTTTTATGGTGGTGTATAAGTGAATATTGTTAGTCATGATAATACACTACCTTAAAGAATACTAAGTTGAATATCTATGTGTCTGTAATTACCTAGCTTTATTCAACCTTAACATTTTGCAATGTTTGCCTCAGATTTTGTTTTAAGAAATAAACACTGTAGGTGCAATTGCAGGTTCTTTGCTGGCGTCCCGCAGCTTGGTCTCATCCCTTTTTTAACCCCCCAGAGGTCAGGTAGTCATTATGATGAATTTTTTGTAATAATTTCTGTGTTTAGTTTTATACTTACTACATACATGAAGTATGATCAAAATATACAGTGATAGTTTATCTTTTAAAAATAATAGTAAAAGGCACATTAAAAAAAACCAAAGACACATTGCCATTTATCCTAAATGTGGATTATCAAAATATTTCCTCTTGCTTCAGATACATTTGTCCCATTGTTCTTGCCACTTTCTGAACAGTCCTGGAAGTCCTCTTTTGTGTCTTTACACAGTATGATCAAAATTACAGTGAGCCGAGTTGCCAAGTGCCAACCAGTGGAAAGGCAGTTTGTGAAAACATTATGCTGTATTCTCATCCACCTTATTCACCAGACCTGGCTCTCTTCAACTTCTGGCTCTTTCCCAAAGTTGAAATAACCACACAAAGTAAATATTTTGAATCCATTTTGGACAACAACAGCTAAAGACATGAAAAAGAACTTCCAAAACTGCTTCAGAAGTTTACAAGAATGATAAGTATATTTGAAGCAAGGGCATTAAAGGCCATGTGTCTTTTAATGTCATAAAATAAAACTTTTAAAAATTTAAACTCACTGTAGTTTTGGACCACACCTTGTATCTACCTCTCTACCTATAACATAAGATTTGTTTATATTTCTGTTTTATATGTGTCTGTGTATATATCTCTAGATCTGGTTTATTCCTTTTAATTGCTAATTAAAACTTAATATCATTTAAGTAATTATATTAACATCATGATTTAGCTGTCTTCTACTGATGGTCATTTAGGTTGCTCCAAGGTTTTTGTTGCAAACAGTGTTAATTTTCAAAGCAATTTTGCTTGTGATCTGGCAGTTGCTGATGGAGAACTGCTGTCTCCTCACAGGACAGAAGGACAGGAGAGCAAGAGGAGTGAAATCTGTCTCTGAAGCCTCTACAGAAAAGCCTCTTCCGAGTTACAAGGGCATTAATCCATGAGGGTTTTGCTTTCATGACTTAAGGACTTCCCCAAAGACCCCACCTATTAATACTGCAACAGTGGGGATTAAATTTCAACATACACATTTAGGGGAGACATTGAGACTGTAGCAATTTTAAGGGTATCTTCAGTCTCATTATTTAGCTTAAAGTTTCTGGTCTGACCCTTAAAATAACTCTTGTTAGTTATTTCAGCTCATTAGTATTTCCACTGTACTTTTTCAGACCTCCAAATGACTGATCTAGCCAATTTCTTACAAGTTAATTATGCTATATAATTAATGTTTCTCAAACCATAGCAATTTTGTTACTTGTAAGTGCTCATCTTGGTCAGAAAAATTTGTGTTCATTACTCAGTCCTTGTGCCAGCTCTGCATCACTTACTTTAGACCTCTCTCACTTTTATTTCCTTTGCTGAAAATCACTTAGACCATAGTGTATGACCTGCTGTCTCAGGCCAGTCCTCAATTTTCTTCTTGGAACTTCTTCCTGTTTCTGTCCCTAATCACTCTTCTCAGAGTTCAATTCCTGTTTTCTTTGTTGCCCAGCTTTCCCTGGAGTCTCATCTCATGGATTCTAACTCTTGTTTATATACCAATGACTCCTAAACCTAAATCTGTAGTTTATTTATCCCCTGCTAAGCTCTAAACCCGAATATCCATCAGCCTTTGGAAATCTTAGCCTATATTTATGTCAGATACCTCAGTTTCAATATGTCCAAAATTGATTTTTTTGTTTTGTTCTTTTTTTTATTCCTTGGAAACCATATTCTATTTTTTTCGTTAACCTCAACCCCAGAATCCAATCAGTTATAAATTCTGTTGCATCACCACTGAGCTAAATCCCCAGCCCCATAAATTATTTTGCTTTAATCTAACTACTTTCATATCTGTGTCATTTGTAGCAAAAGGCCTTAATCTAGTTTTATTTTTATATTTTATTCTTTTTTTTTTTTGTACCAGGGATTGAACTCCAGACCTTGTGTTTGCAAGGCAGGTGATGGTACTACTGAGTTAAATCCCTGGCTATTTTTACTTACTTTAAAAAGTGTGTATTTCATCTGATCTCTCTGCTGCTATTTAAATTCACTCAGCTCAAGTCTGTCTTCACACTGTTTCTAGATACCTTTTTGATTACCTGGGTAAGGATTATATGAATATTATATTCATTTAGCATTTATTAGTTCAACAAAAGAAATGTCTTTGGTGTGGCAGATGCTATTTTAGATGTTGAAGTCCCTGGTCTAATGGAGCTAAAATTCTAGTGATGGTGGTAAGTGGAGAAAGGTAATGAGTAAATAGGTAATGTCTGGTAGTCATGAATTCTAATAAGAGAGTAGAGTCGGATGATGGGATACAGTAGAGAGGAGCAGAGGAACCATTTTCTATAGAGTCACGTGGAAGGACTTTTTAATAATAGGATCTTAACCAGGCACCTGAATGGAGTGAGGGAACAAATAACAGATATCTGGGGAAGAACAGTCCAGGCAGAGGAAAGAAACAGAGCAGCAAGAGAAGAGGCTCTGAAGCTGGAAGTACAGTGTACTTAACAAGTTCACAGAACAGCAGAAGACCAAACAGGCTGAAACTGAGTGAGTGAGAGAGAATGGAAGAAAATAAGAGCTAGTACTGGGGCAGGAGATCTGTAAAGCTCTGTAAGGGAATTTAGATTTGCTCCTGAATGAGATGGGAAGCCAGGAGAGAATTTTGAGCAAAAGAGGCTCGATCATGAATTCAGGAGTGGCATGTCTTAAAGGTCCACTGTGAGGCTGCAGGTGCGGCTCAGTGGTACAGCTCTTGCCTAGCGTGTATGAGGAGGTCCTGGGTTCAATTCCCAGCACAGCAACAATAGAACACAAAGCAGAAAGGTTCGCTGTGGCTGTTAGGTGGGGTTGGAGATGAATCGAAGCCATCCCACTCCACTCCCAGAAGTTTAGGGAAGAGGTGTTGGTGGCTTGGACAAGGCAGAGCAGTGGGAAAAATAAGTGGTCAGATTCTGAATATTGCTGTGTTATTGTGACAAAATACCCTTAAAAAGGGGAGAAAGGTCCTGTTTTGGCTCATCGTTTCAGAGGTTTCAGTCCATGGCCGCTTGGCATCATTGTGTTTGGGCCTGTGCTGAGATAGAACTCGGGGAGGGAGGAGAGCATATGTGGAGCAGAGTAGCTTACTTTGTAGTGGACAGGAGGCAGATAGAGAGAGGAGCAGTCAGAGACAAAATACACCCTTCAGAAGCCTGCAGCTAATGAGCTAATGGAGTACTTCCTCCATTTAGGCCTTCAACTCCTAGTCTCCACCAGTTTCCCCACTACTTACCAGCAGTGCCATCAGCCGGGATCCAAACAAATAACAATTGCAAAGTAGACTGACAAGAATCTGGCAGAGTGTGTGTGCACACGTGTGTCCTTTGAGTACAGAAGCACATGTGTAACTGTGGACAGTGTGGCTGGAGAGTGGAATGCAGAAGCTTTAAGAGCATTTTTTATTTTTCTAATTCACGACAGGATTTCCCATCTTTTGCTTGCAGGTAGGGAAAATGTACAGTTTTTATTTTGTTTCTGTTTTACTCTATAAGTCTTTATATAGCTTACATTGATTATTATAGAAGACAATGACTTGTTTGAAGTCGTACTTAGTATTCTTTCAATTTTTGTACTTTCAAAAATTGAAATTAAAATTGTATTACTTCTGTTTTGAAAAACAAAAGAATTATTGGCATAGATTGTAGATGTAGATGAGAGACCAAGGGCTTCAAGGATGATCCCAAAACAAATGGAAAAATGAATATTCCCGCTTATGTAGGTGGGGAAACTGGTGTGGAAGTGAAGTGTTTGGTTTATGAAATGGTGAAAGATTGAGTGCCTTAGATATCCATGTATATATATGTTGAGTTGTTGGTTGTATACACAACCACACCCACAGGAAGTATATAGCGTTATTTTGTGTGGCTTAATTTTACATTAGTGGTTCACACGCACACATATTTTTGCAACATGCATATCTCCAACCTCATCTCCTGTTAGATCTCATGCACACTTCATGGCCCAGTAATGTAAAATGCACTGTGACTGATTTCATTTGCTTCTTAGAATATTGATTGGCGTATACGGTACTAACCCTGTGAAGTACTGATTCCGAGACTCATTCTGTGAAGTCTTTCACAACAGCTTTCCCTAATACATTAATTATTTTCTTTATCATTGTTTGTCTTATATAGATTGTGACTGCCTTATGCATCACAGGGCTATATTTTGTGTTACATTTATAAGTTTGTTTCTTTCTGGGCTAAAAGATAAGAACTCCGTGATTATTTGCTTTCAGCTTTTTATTGTTAGCCCTGGGACACTATGTGATTCCAATAAATATTTGAAGGCAGTAAACTTAGATAGTTTGGCCTTATAATTCCAAGTCCTGTGAAAAAAGTGGTTTATATTACAAAATAAAAAGATTTGAAGATATTGATCAGCTAATGTTATGCATGTATTTGGCAAACAACATCTATGATAGTTTCTGGGAAGCTATCTGATTCATGTAAAATAATAAATAGCTAATGGGAGTCTAAAGTCTTAAAAACTAATATTGGCAAGAAAATTGAAGGGAATTCATGAGAATAGTGCCCTTAATCATATAAATTTGTCTGCAACAAAACGCTTTTTTCTTTATCTTCAGGCTGTTACATCTTCTGAAGTCTGGATCATTCACCTTTGGAAGCTTGTTAATGCAGATTTTTTAATTTTTTATTTTAATGTAATACAAGTAGATATTAATAAAATACAAAAACACTCTTCTGTGAAAAAGTAAAACAAAATTTAATAACAAAATAGAGAATAACAATGTTTAATATACTATGTGTCATGATCTCAAAACAGTGGCCAAAATGTTACTCAGAGTACAAGTCATTGACAATAAAGATTCTCTCTTACAAAGAAGAAACAACAGAAGAAAGGAGAAATGAAACAAATTAGCATTTATTTTAAAATATTTTTGAAACAAGGGCCAGTGATTTGGCTCAGTGGTTCCACTGTCTGCCTTGCAAGCACAAGGGCCCAAGTTTGATCCCCGGTACCAAAAAAAAAAAAAAGAAAAAGAAAAAAGCATCTATTATTGGGCCAGGGTGTTCTGCTGCCTGCATCGCAAGCGCAAGGACCTGAGTTCAATCCCCAGTACCAAAATATATATATATATGTATATATATATATTTTTTTGAAACAGATTGGATAATTTAGGCAGTTATTTGAGCTTCTCCCTCCTCCGTTTATCTATCTTCTATTTTTGCTTGTGTTCTCTCCTCCCTTCTGTCTCTATATATTAACATTGTATACATTTTTATATTTTTTAAGTCTCTCATACAAGAGAAAGATAAACAAGGCATTCATAGGCAAATGGATGCAGTTTGAAAATGTAATGTTAATTGAAATAAATCAGACTCACAAGCCTACAATACAGATTTCTGAGTCCCAACCACGAGTATTCTGAAGTATGATCTGTGGTGTTGGGTACTAACAATTTGGATTTTTTAAATATCCTCAGATTTTTCTTATGTATTTCAAAGTTTAAAAGTTACTATTTTTGTTTGTTTTGTTTTGTTTTTGCGGTACCAGGGATCGAACTCAGAACCTTGTGCTTGCAAGGCAGGCGCTGTGCCACTGAGCTAAATCCCCAGCCCTGAAAATAGCTATTAAAGATTACAGTGGGCTGGAGAGGAACCAGGGATGGCAAAAAAGAACTAAGTGACATTAAAGACCTTTCAAGTCCTTTAATTAGTCAATGGGCTAAGCAGAGAGTGAATGTGAAATGATGTCTAAAAGCTGAGCCACTTGTAAGGATAGTTAATGCTAATGTAACTCACAGCACCTTGAACATTTAGGGAAGATTTTTAATTCTTATGTTTAAACTTTTAGCTGCTGTTCCATGGTTAGATAATTGTATCCATTTTTAATATGTCAAAATCATACTCTAAAACTGTATGCTAAATAAATGCCATATATATACTATTCATAATTGATGACTATGTTTGACTCTTTTAATAAAGAGTGATGATTTTAAAGGCAAAACAAAATTAAGTTTAAAACCATGTCATGTTTTAGCTAGCTATTTGAAATATCACTGTATGGCCCACAAACAAGGCATCTCCACTTTATTTCTGCTTATGCAATTGCCCTCCAAAAACTTAGAAATAAACAAGGTTGTGAGTGTTAAATTTCAAAATCCAGATTGTTAGGTGGCAGATTTCCCTGTAAGTAAAAATGGTTCTCATCTTCTTTTTTTTGTTTTTTAAGGTTTCCAGATTGTGATGAGCCATATCCTCGACTTGTGGATCTGAATTTAGTTGGAGATCCAACTGAAGGAGCCCCAGTGGCAGTACAGAGGGACTATGGTTTTTGGTGTCCTCGAGAATTGAAAATTGATCCTGATCTTGGTTATTCTTTTTTGCACGTGCGTGATTGTTCACCTCCTTGTCCAAATATGTACTTTAGGAGAGAAGAACTATCATTTGCTCGCTATTTCATAGGATTGATTTCAATCATTTGCCTCTCTGCTACATTGTTTACTTTTTTAACTTTTTTGATTGATGTCACAAGATTCCGTTATCCCGAAAGGCCTATTATATTTTATGCAGTCTGCTACATGATGGTATCGTTAATTTTCTTCATTGGGTTTTTGCTTGAGGACCGAGTAGCCTGCAATGCCTCTAGCCCTGCACAGTATAAGGCTTCTACCGTGACACAAGGATCTCATAATAAAGCCTGCACCATGCTTTTTATGGTACTCTATTTTTTCACGATGGCTGGCAGTGTATGGTGGGTGATTCTTACCATCACGTGGTTTTTAGCAGCTGTGCCAAAGTGGGGTAGTGAAGCTATTGAGAAGAAAGCATTGCTATTTCACGCCAGTGCATGGGGCATTCCTGGAACTCTGACTATCATCCTTTTAGCGATGAATAAAATTGAAGGTGACAATATTAGTGGCGTGTGTTTTGTTGGCCTCTACGATGTTGATGCATTGAGATATTTTGTTCTTGCCCCTCTCTGCCTGTATGTGGTAGTTGGGGTTTCTCTCCTCTTAGCCGGCATTATATCCCTAAACCGAGTTCGAATTGAGATTCCATTAGAAAAAGAAAATCAAGATAAATTAGTGAAGTTTATGATCCGGATTGGTGTTTTCAGCATTCTATATCTCGTACCACTCTTGGTTGTAATTGGATGCTATTTTTATGAGCAAGCGTACCGTGGCATCTGGGAAACAACGTGGATACAAGAACGCTGCAGAGAATATCACATTCCATGTCCATATCAGGTAAGGGAAACCTTGTTATAAATTTCACAATGTGTGATAGTGAAAAGGCATATTAGTAGCTGTTCATTTAAAAGCTCTTCATAAACCTTCAACTTGTACATTAAGATTTTAAGGCAAAGACAGCAAATATAGCAAGTCTGTACTATACATATTTCTACAGATCCCTTCATTTTAAATGATTTACATGTCTAAGCTTTGCTTTTAAAAATTGTTTTCATTATCATAAAACAAAACAGTTCTTTATTGATTCTTTCAAATCCAGGTTTGTAAGGAGAAATACTGTACCAATATTGATGAAAAAAGGAATGGTCTTTAGTAGAAATTTTACTGATGGTCACGTAGGAATTAATTTTGAACAGTTTTACAAAAATAATATAATGTAGTTATGCAAACTCTTACAGTCTTGGGTTTTCCTGTTTGCATATATGAATTTTTGTGATGTACTTTTAATTTTAAAGAATTCAGAGCCTCTGGTGGTCAAAGAATCATAGAATTTTAGTTCTGGAAAGAACTTTACAGATCATTTATTTGGATTTTCTTTCTGATTATAGTCCTTAAACATTCATCTCTTTTGAAGCTTAGAAATGTTAAGTGGCTTGCTTATGCTTAGTAAAAGACCAGCTGGGATTTAGTCTTAGGAGAGGAGTATTGTTGAGAAAAATAGCGTAGAGGAATTGATGTTATGTATGTCTCTCTCCTATCTTAAGTCCTTTTCTAGAACCTGTGCCTCTAGCTCTTACCCTCTTCCTTTTTTTTTTTTTTTTTGGTACCAGGAATTGAACTGGGGGCCTTTCACTTGCAAGGCAGGGGGGGGAACCAATTACCCTCTTCCTTTTTTTTTTTTTTTTTGGTACCAGGAATTGAACTGGGGTCCTTGCACTTGCAAGGCAGGTGGTGGAACCAATTACCCTCTTCCTTTTAAAACATGTTTCTTCACAGAGTATTCTAACTAGATTTCTCCGGTTCATCATGCTCCAAGTTTCCTATTCTGAAAGTGCACCAACTACCTTTCCATCTCCCCTAACCCTTATGTTTCTCTAATACCTCTTAATTTAATAAAATATTTGCATATTATAGATAACTTTTTTTCACTTGTGTTTTTCCCTACTAGACTGTATGTAAACTCTTTACAAACAAGAACTTCTTTTAAATTTTTGAATGCATATTCTTTAGGTTAGTAAGTTATAGCAGTGATATGGTTTTATAGATTGAGAAGAGCTATTTTAAAGAAATGGTAACCTTAGTACATGGACTATGCAGTTAAGACATGGTCACTGCTCATACTCAGTGACTGAGAATGCCAGTTTTCTCTTTGCTTTGTGGTATAAAGAATACTGTACAAATGATGTTTTTATTTAATATTTTTTAAAGATAAGCGAACTCAAAATTAAGAGACCAGAAAAATGAATATTTGAAATACTATTACTTTCTTACCACTTTGCTTACTAAAAACTCTTAATGAGTTTCAGACCTAAAGGTAAGTAATTGAATTTTGTCTTGACTGAAGGAAAGATGATTGAATTATGTCAAATCATCCCCCATATAGGTTATCTAGAAATACATATTAAATTAAGAATATTAAAGAAATATTTGAATGTGAAATCTGTAAAATTATCAAACCTCAAATAATAAATTAATGTAATGTTGCTCCTTTCAAAACATTCTGAGAATTCTTTTAGCATCTTTAAGAACCAGTTTGAGCTATACAGAAGTATGTGTGTATTGTTTTTCCTTATAGCCATAGGTTAAAAGCGTTTTCATAAAATATTTCAACATACATAAAAGAAGGAGTGATTTAATAACACAGATACTGTGCTGTAAACTCTGAAGCAAGGATCATAGCTTCGTATCTTTTATCATCTACTAGCTTTATAACCTTGGGTCAACTTGACCTTTCTTTTCTGTTCTTCATCTATAAATTAAGAATCATAATAGAACCTGCCTCTTGGGATTATTTTTAGGATTAAATATATGTGAAAGTTTAGAAGTGTGCCTGCTATATAATGTGTTCAAATATTAGCACTATTCTTTTTCTTGTGTTATTGTTACTGTTACTTATATGTATATAATATCTTACTATAATTTTTAAAAACCATCCAGTACCAAGCTTTAGCAAATGGAGTATTTGGTTTGGACTTTTAAAAGAAATCATAATACAGCTCACTGTGTTGACACACACTTCTACTCCCAGCTGCTCAGGAGTCTTAGGCAGGAAGATCATAAATTCAAGGAAAGCCTGAGCAAATTAGCAAGACCCTGTCACAAAATTTCATGAAAGGGCTGGATGTAGTTTAGTGGCTGAATGCCTAGCATGCATGAGGCCCTAGATTTGATCCCCAATACTGCCTAAAAAAGGAAAAAATGCATACAAATTTAGTCTATATACCAGTATGTATGTAGCTATTTAAAAAAATACCTTTTTTTTAGACAAGGTCTCACCAGGTTACCCAGGCTGGCCCAAACTTGTAATCTGCCTTCCTCAGCCTCCCTAGTAATTGGGATTGCAGGCATGTACCACCGTGACTGCCCTAACAACTGCTGTACATAGCATATAAATGGTATCATGCTGTATGTGTGTTTCTTCAAACTGATTTTTTAACTTAACATTTTGGAGTTTTTTTGTTTGTCTTTTGTTTTGTTTTTTTCTCATTGAGTTTATTGGTACTTTTTAGGTATACAGTACAGTTACATTCATCATTGGGATCTTGTACCTTTACATGACAAGTCTTGGTTCTCATTTTTCCCCCTTATCCCTGCCCTCTCTTCACCCCTTCTCCCTTCCCTATTTACAGATACTTTATTTCCATTTAACATTTTGTTTTTGAGATGTATTGATGTTAATACTACAGCTCTAGTTCATTTTTAAAATGTGTTTCATTTTAAGGAAGTTAGTTATATTTCAAATATATAGAAGTACAGAAAATAACAAATACCCATGTGCTCACACCCTAACTATCCTAAGTCTTTAAAGTTGTGTCAGATACATCTGCAGCTTTCTGTATCTGGTGTAGAAGATTCAGCTGATGCTTCCTTCATTCCCTTCCATATTCCTCTTCCCCTCCATCTCTATTCTCAGAAGTACCTGTCTCATAAATATGGTATTTATCATTCTCCCACATATTTCATACTGTTACTGAATATTTATGTGTCCTTAAAACTTGCAGTGTTGCACATTTTTAAAATGCATGTAAATGGGGTCATTCTGTATCTTGCTTTTTTAACTGTTTTTGAGATTACATATGTTGATCTCTGTACTGCTAATTTGTTCATTTTAGCTGGAGAATTATGTTGTGTAAAAGTACTGCATTTTATTCACTCATTTTTTTATCAGTGGATATATGGTTTCTAATTTTTCTACTATTTTTCAGTGACTAGTCTGATAACACTTGTCTTCCTTGCATATGTTTCCATGAGTTGTTTACCAGAAGTGGAATTATTGCACATTATTGTAAGTGGAATTATTGCAATGTAAGATGTAAGCATCTTCAACTGAAGTAGTAATTTAATATATATTCACACCAGAGTATGAATTTCCCTTTTCTCCCCTTAGTACTCTCAGATTTTTATTTTATTTTATTGGTACCGGGGATTGAACTCGGGCCCTTGTGCTTGTGAGGCAGGTGGCGGAACCACTGAGCTAAATCCCTTCCCAATATTCTCAGATTTTTAAGTTTCTGCCTCCTGTTGAAATGGTATCAGTGTTTTAGCAGTGCACGCTTCTCAGTAATAAGACGGATGTGTCTTCATGTGTTTATTGGCCCTTTGGGTTTCTCTTCTGTGACTCGCCTGTGTGTCAGCTTTGCCCATTGCTCTGTTGTTTGCTCTTTGCTGTCACTGTTGACATATTCTTAGTATTTGTCAGTTGTTTGTATTGGAGATATCTTCCTTGATCTCTCACTTATATTTAACTTTGTGCTTTCTTCTGTTTTAAGAACTCTTTCATACCTCTAAAATCATAAACGTCATCTGCCATATTTTTTCTAGCAGTTTTTATTTGCTTTTTGATTCATATTTGTAATCCTTGGAAGTGTTTTTGTCTGTCATAAAGAACATAATTTCATTTTCCCATATAAGTAAGCAGTGTTCTTTTTGCACTATTACTTGTCAGTTGTAATACAACCTCTGTGAGGTACCAGTTTGATTTTTAAGCTCTTGGTTTCATTGGTCCATTTGTTCAACCATGTGTCAATTGTATATTTCCTGTACCTTGTGTTCTTCAAAACTTCAAAACTATTTTAGTTACTCTTCTTGATACTTTGCTCTTCTATATGAACTTTAGAATCAATTTCCTGTGAAAAATATTATCAGGATTTTTTTTTTTTTTTTTTTTTTGGTACCGGGGATTGAAGTCAGGTCTTTGCCCTTGCAAGGCAGGCCACCAAACCACTGAGCTAAATCCCCAGCCCTTACTATCAGGATTTTGATTGAAATGTTTTGATTTATAAATGAATTTGGGGGAAACTGCCACCTTTGCAATACTAAGTTTTAATATCTTTTTATGTTTTTATTCATTCATTTGTTCCTAGATACCTTATAGTTTTTGTTATAATTGTGAGTGTGATCTTATCTCTATTGCATTTTAAATTGGTTATTGCTAGTGTACAAGAATGCCACCAGTGGATTTAGTATATTGATCTTTAAACAGCCCTTCCGAACTCTTTATTAGTTGTAATTATGTGTAGATTCTCTTAGGTACTCTGTCATTGTCTGCGAATAAGGATATTCCTCTCGTGTTGGCTTTGCAATTCTTATATTTTATATAAGATCTGTCTGTTCTTTCAGAGGGTTGGGACATCTGTAAAAGTCTGTGCTAGTATCTTTGAAGTAAAGGCACAAAAGAGGTTGTGGAAGATGGACTAGATGACTAGGTTTTAAATTTTTATTTCAGTTTCTCTAATAGTATTTTTTCTTGAGAACTTTTTACTCAAGATGGAGAATCTCTGGCCTTTTTCTTCTTCTTCTTCTTCTTCTGTCTTCTTTCTTCCTCCTTCTTCCTCCTC